TTTAATATATTTATATATTTGTATTTGTATATTTATATATTTATTTATTTATTTATTTATTTATATAGAGATACTTCTTATTTTTATAAATAATTAAAGAAAGAAATATCAATTTCTCTAAAGTAATAATTGGCAATCTTGTACTTATTTTTATTGTGGCTTCTGAGGAATGTGCACATTCGTTTCTTTTAAATTGAATGTATACGTCTATCATACGCAAGTATAAGTAAACGCATGTACATTTTAACGTATTTCCCGCTTCTTAAAGAATTCACTTAGGTCGTAAAGTAAGTTGACATAAATAAAGGGAGAAAGGAAAATTAAATTAACGTACAAAGGAATATATCGCACTAAACGATGATTCGTGTCTCTAATAAAACGTTGCCAATTTCGATAAAAGTCCTTTCGAAATTACACAATAAAAGGTAAACGTGCAGATTGTGCGTAAAATATAGTAAGCGCGAAGTACAGAACGCATGCGATCGCAAATTGTAATAAGAAGCATATGGTCGATCTGCGTAAAGAAAATTTGGTTTTTCGCGCAACGAAGAACGTTACTAAACCATTCACGCAAGCATTGACTACCACTCTGATTTCTTTGCGAATGTCGTATAAGATTATTCACGCACGCAATCGTGTGTCTGTCTTCCTTGTCGTAGCCGAGAAAACTTCTTCGTATCTCGCAATGCGCGAGAATAGTACGGAAGAAAATTGTACAAGCAAAATGGAAAATCAGCGGTCGTAGTCAACGTGGTGATTCATTTACGACAATTGCACTAAATTGTTCCCTTTCTGATATTCGTTTTAACTAGCTTCGATTTGTACTTGGTCACATCGCAATCGAGTTCTATGAAATACACATTTAACATGGTGCTCGATTTACAACGTGTTCAAAAGACTTTGGCATATAGCGAATAAGAGATCGTATTGCAGGTTACCTGCACAATCGAACAATAGCCTCTTCGTAATTGCAGAAAAATAAACGACTCGAATCGGGATAGCTCGTATAACGGAATTCAAGCTCTCTCCGATTTGCACGACGATTCTTTGGATTCGACTAAAATTATAACGCGTGAAAATGAATTCGAGTTAGAACTAAGGGGAAGAGGAGAAGAAAGAAGCAAACAATGAACATAACAAAATGAACAAAAAGATGGTAACGTAAAAATAGCATAAAGTAAAAGAATGAACTTTTACGTCCTTATCGGGATAAATACACTTATAAACGAAAATAAAATTCTATCTATACCGCGTAGATAGTCGAGTACACGCACCTGTGGGGACTACGTGAATACGTGTACACGAATTCGGCAAGCCTCCAAGCTTATAACTAAAGTAGTACATGAGTATGTTTAATATCATAAACGTATGATTATTATGGCCAAATTTTGGTCTGGGAGCTACATACGACTCTCCGAGACAAACAAATGAGCAACTAGAATGCCAATCACTGTCAACGGAGAACAGCTTGGCCGCCTGAAACGCGAACAAGAGTTTCGCGTGTTCCACTTAAATAATAGAGCAATGAAAATGGCACGTTTTTTTTTTTTAGTACAAGATGGTACGCCCGACCAGCCATTGGATACATTTTACGCGTTGCAATAACACGAATACGCATTGTTTTACGCCTCGAGGAAGGTTCTACGATCTTACGCGACGTTCTTTATTTTTCCGCGAAAAAAGAAAGAGGAAGGCAACGTCGAGATGAATCGAAACGACTGGAAACGTGGTAAAATAAAAGCTACCGATAATCGATCCTGTAACTTTCGTCGAGGCGAATTTGCTAAAGAAAAAAGAAAAGAGAGAGAGAGAAAAAAAAAGAACGTATTAGTCGAAAAGATTTAGCTAAAAAGATATCGAAGCCTCGAAAACGATAGTACGTTTTTGATCAGTCTCACAGTGGATCTACCATTCAGGACACCGCGAACTTTGCACACTCGCGGTCGATCGTACAAAGAAAGATGCACATTCCTCCTTACACGCTATTAAGTACCAAACTCATTTGACTAGATAAAATAATTTGCCTTTTTTTCTTTCTTTCCTACTGCATGTCTTTGGTTATAAAAAACGTTAATATAGGTTTTCCTCGTGATTACGCACGCGATATCTTTTTTCTTCTTCATCTTCGTCTTCTTCTTCTTCTTCTTCTTCTTTCTCTTCTTCTCCTTTTTCCTCCTTTTCCACCTCCTACTCCCTCTCCACCTCCTCCTTCTTTTTCAATATGCATATACAAATATACATAAATGAACGTACACATGTATTCATGTGTATAAATGACTAGGGTGTAAAGTGTAAGACAGGTGTCTTTAATATATGCTTCCCGTCGACGACTAGAGAGTTATTTTACGATAAATGCCGTTCGTACGGACACGTGTCTCCGTGTTAAAAAGTTACGAATTAAAAACATAGCGCGTGTGATGTTCCGTTCACTCGAATCGATCAAACAACGCCGGAATGCTGACTTTCTGCTACAAGAAGCTAGCAGAATTTGTCTAGTGTATCGCAGATTTCGTCTGGCCGTATATCAAACGGGCCAGCGATCGTGCTTGTGCATGCGATCACGATTCGTTACCGATCTCATTAGCCGGCATATACTCCGAGCAAAACTATTCGATAACCTAACCGTCACGATCCTTTTCCTCGATCGATCTCGATCGATCTCGATCGACACTCGTTTCGGAAGATCCGATTGGCGGAATAAATGAATATTCGCGTATGCACGAGGATTATATCTTAAAATCTAAAAAGAAAAGACAATGGAAAAGCAGAGAGGTTTGCATGCACGCGACCGATGACGGACTGAAAGCGCGAATAGATCGCGCATGCGATGACCGACTCGAAAATATCGTCCCCGAAAGCGGTTAGACCGTTGACGAGTACAAGTAGAGGAAAAGTGGAGCATGTAACATGTTCGCGTGTACAGAGCACCGTGGCTGGCAAAAGACACGGGAAGAAAAGGAGAGTAATGGGACTGAGAATGAAAGAATCGCGCGCGTTTATTCTCTCTTTCGTCGACGGGCGTGTAGATTTGGCAGGATATGTTCGCACTAAGGAATAGGACTAGACGTGATTCGCTCGACGCTGCTCTCCCTGATACGTATAGTGGTGTAGGTGGCATTAGGTTCGAGAGCGGCGGTAGGACTTCCAACGTTTTGGTGGGCAATCGCGGTGGAGGAGACGGAAATGGGCGTCGGCAGGGGCGTCGCTACGGTGCTACCATCGGTCGCCGTGGAAGCGCCGCTGACAGCGGAGACAACAGGGACACCGGGGGCGGTGTTGGTGGACGCGGTTCCGGTTGCAGTTCCGGCTGTGGCTGCGGCTGCTGCTGCGGCGGCGGCGGCTGCTGCGGCGTTCGCGACTGCAGTTGCGGCGGCGGCGGCGGTCGTCCCGACGCCCAGCCAACCGTGCCGATTTTTTAAATGTCGCTTCATGTGCGTCGTGCGGCTCAGCACTTTATGACACACCGGACACTGAGTCGTTCCTTTGTGCATGTTCATGTGTTTGTACATCGAGTCCCGATTCCAAAACGTTTTACCGCAGAGTTTGCACGAATGCGACGGCTGTTCGATGACCACCGTACGAGAATCTAAATCAGATATAAACGTTCATGGTAGTACGTACGCCGATGTCGTGCGAACAATTCGACACCCACGATATTATCTCTATCGTTCTTTAATCTTGTACTCTGATCTTAACTTTTTTTCTTTTTTTTATTTTTTATTTTTTATTTTATTTTATTTCCGTATCGTCGCCAAAACGCGAACGATCCTTAGACAACGAATACTATGTTCATCGATAAATACGTTACACAAAGCACGTCGTACGCGATATTTCCCTTTCTTTTTTCCGTTAATTCGTTCATTTCCTGTACCTTTCCTTTCATCCTGCTTCCCTTCCTTCCTTCCTTCCTTCCATCCTTTCCTTCTTTTTTTCCATCTCTCTTTCTCTCGTTTTCTCTCTCTCTCTCTCTCTCTCTCTCTCCCTCTCTCTCCCTCTCTTTCTTTCTTTTCACTTTTTTTCTTATTATTATTATTATTATTATTATTATTATTATTATTACATGTTTTATTTTCTTTTTTTCTCTTTTTTAATCTACTGTCAATTAATATTTTTACTACTACGCATCTCCTTTGATTTATATATATATATATGTGTGTGTATATATATGTATATCAACGGCTCGAGGAGACGAACGGTAAGAAAAGGCAGCACACACGATGAGTTGTACAAGGAAGAGCAACCACGAGGTGATAAACACGCAACTGTAAACTCTTGGAGCAATCATGCTACTGTGAATTGTGGATACAACGTTCGAACGACAACAAAACAATGTATGTACGTACAAAAAATGTTCAATATTCATGCAGAAGAATATCAGAAGTCCTATTTGAAGGTATCGTTCGGTTGCAGTTAGAAATGCAATTGAAAATCACAAAACAAGCATCTTTTAATTACGGTGATCACACGTTTACCTTACATATGATACACAAGAAATTCAATTATCTGTGAATTTTCGTTAAACGCCTGCTGTGTGCAGTGAACCGACAATCATGTATCCTTTTTTTTCCTCAATATACATTTATTTGCGAGCATGGGTTCATGGTAGAGTTGGAATTATCGAGTGACTATTATCGATCATCGTGAATTACGTTTTTCTTCGACGCGGCTAACGCAAGCACTTGTTTATGAAAAAAAAAAAAAAAAAAAAAAAAAAAAAAAATATGAAAAAAAAAGAAAGTACAAAAAAGGTACGAAACAATTTATACGATACTTTTATTTTCAGCTCACGCATGTACGTACAAAAGAAAAAGCGATAACGATGACTTGTTACTATACGTAGCAAACATACTGTGTATATTTATAAGCTAGAATGCAACGATTTATCTTCACACAATGCTTCGTCAAAATTTCAAACCGGTAGCGAGGATTTTTTACGGAAATGGCGGGAAAATGTCCCGCCTCTAACTTATCGTACTTTTACTTCGTTCCCGCATGCTTCGAGTGATCGAGGGGGAAGAGACGACGTACGTATATATCGGAAAAAGAACCGAATTCAGGAGCATGAAAGATAACGTGCTAATTTTTTTTGTTTTCCTCTTTCTTTCCCTTATTTTCATCGATTACAATAATTTCTGACGTGTTTCGAAGGAGACTAAAGATATAAGAGAAAAAAAAAGAAAAGAAAAAGCAATGCAACGTCGATGAAAGCACGTTGCGATAAAATGATAAAATTATAGCGATAAGATTGTCGTAATTTATATACATTACAGTGGTTATGCACACGATATGTACATTTTCGGCGATCAACCAAAGGACGTACACTGTGCACAATGTTACCGTTTACGGTGTAATCGAGGGTATGCAGGGGTATTCCACGCACGTAGTAACGCGGTTCGATCGTTCGATTATCGAAATGTACGTACGCGATAATAAAATGAGAACTGAAAGAATCGAACGAGAAGAATATCGATATTTCCTTGCACGGAATTCGAAAGTTACTTAAACGTCGAATCCACAGTCTATAGTGATCTAAAACCAGCCTTGAATTTCGTATAACTTGATATTCGAGCAAATAATCCTTTCATTCGCTGTAAAACATTCTACTCTCGGGCAAATTTGTGTTATTTCACACCATGAACATTTAACATGTGACAACGCATTGTGTACTTTCGAGTGAAAATAGTGTGACAGATCGGACAGATTGTGTCACCCCTATGTATGCTACGATGATGCGCCAAGGAATCACCACGATTATAAGTACGACCGCAGACGTCGCACACCCAACGACCTCTTGGATCATGAATGGGCCTAGACCTACGCTTGTTCCGCTTGTAACCGTGGCTCATCTGTTGCTGCCGTTGTTGTTGCTGTAGTAGCTGTTGTTCCTGTTGCTGCAACTGCCGCGGCTGCCGCTGCCGTAGCCGTATCTCGTGTCGATGCTCATGATGATTCCCAATAGGCGGTGTATCGTGCTTAGGTTCTGCGCACACAATCCAAAGTGTTCCCATACACACAGACAGCTTCATACTTATGTGATAAAATTTCACTGTTTTTCATGTTTGCAATCTTGAAAACGAGTTTTTAATCTTTTTCCGTAGATTTGTCCGTCGTTTTCCCTTGCCTCGTATTATATTTATGTGCTTATTCAGTTACCCGTTAAATTTTCCTAATGTCAATTTCTCTCGATAAAACGGCAAGCGAGTAGCTTGACTGAATTTTGACACGTCGAACCTTGTGATAATAGCAATCGCGACATTGTCTCCCGGCAAAGAAATAGGAGCAAGGGTCGATCGAAGAGGATGCGACGAGACAGACGACTAAAGAGCAGGCAAACGAGTGTTCGCACAGGATTTTGGACACGATTCGCAAACGGTCAGTTCTGTCTGTAAATCGTCAACTTCGCGAACGTGATTCGCGCCACGAGTGTGTATCTCCTGTTTAGCCATTGCGAGCTGTAAAATTCCCACAAGCATGTTCAACGAAGCCTCCAGTTAAAGAGAAAAGAGAGAATTTTGTCGAATATCGGAACAACGATAAGCTTACAAATGTTAATGTTTATGCAAGATTCTGTACTGACAGCTGCAGTAGTACGGGTTATCGAATTCAGACAATGACAGATCTTAAATATTGTTCGTTCGTAATTATTTTTACGATCTTTGAACGAGTGAAACAAAGGATGCAGTTTTTGGAAAGTTTTATTAAAACTTCCTAACAGTGATTCAAATATGAGATATATCTTTCGAGATTGTTTTCAATAAATCGTATACAAACATCCTGTAATAACGTAAAACTTTCAACTATAAATAGATACGATGTATTAACGTGTAGACATAAAATTAAACGAATATACAGCGCATCGCACCAACAACAGTCGCATTTTTCCTTTTCCTTTTTTTCTTTTCTCTCTCGTAATTAATCTCGAACAAATTAATAATCGTTATTAATCGAAATAAAACACGCGCGATCGTTTCGAAGTAAAAAGTAGGAAACAGAAACTAAAATCGATCGAACTGTACACGGACACGAATAAAAAATATTGGATGATTCTTTGAATCGCTTATTTTCTAAAAAAAAAAAAAAACGTTTCTCTTTGAGGAACTTTACGTTTTCTCGCGTCATCTGTCGTTGATGGCACTTTGTTCGAGTCTTCTGGCATCAGTCTATTTAACGCGAATACAGGGACGATGCTAAACCGATCGGTTCTTGCGAAAAATCTCTCGTGTCTATTCACAGGCTTATGTATTATAATAATTAAATGCGACGGATAAATAGAAATAATACGCATAAGAGTACGAAACAAAGATTCCAGAGATTAAACCAGCTTAAAATCGATTCGATACTGTTGAGTAAACGAAGAAAAAAAGAATAAACGTATATATATGTATATATATATATACATAAATATATATATGCACATGTATACACATATAAGAATAATAAATTGCATGGAAAACAAGACGTTGGACGCTGTTCTTTCGCGTTTCTTTCATAAACGCGACAGACGTTCACCGATCAACAGTATCGCGACAGTATCGATCGCTCAGCCGATCTTTCTTCCTGACAGTGAGATATAAGAAGGTGATGAAAAATGAACGTCTCCTCGCGAGGCGGTACTATGCGATCACTTTCGAAAGTTCAACTTAGCGTCGACACTGAACGTGCACTTGTGGATGCGCAGCAAATGAGCCTTCATGTCGTAACTTCGACTGAAAATGCGCTGACAAATCGGGCACCTGGTTTGCCCTGTATGCAAGTCCTTGTGCAGTGTCAACGACATCGGATGCTTGAAACCTTTCCAACAAATTCTACAGCGAAACAATAATTCAGTATCCGTGGACTGACCGTAGTCATCGTCCGAGACGAGGTCCGCGGTTGCAGGACCGGCGCTACCACCCCCGCCCCCTGCGGTATCTCCTGCTCGTTCTACAAATAAACACAAACACACAAGATCACCTCTATATTAACCAGAACACACGTGTGCCGTATGCAAACTTAAATATCGCGTCCTCGCGCGAGACACGATAACGTTCAATACCTTTTACCTCTGCTCCTCGCGCGGTCGATCGATATTACTTTTGAACTTTCATCTTAACGGAAAGAAAAAGAACCACCAAAGAATCTTTCCTGTTGCCTCTGTAGCGCAAGCGCAAACGCGAACGCGAACGCGGATATGGATACGAATGCAATAACCATCTCGCCAACGATCGACGAATCTTTTCATACCGTTAACCACGATATGGTCCAGCGTGGTCGATCGTTTACTTTCTTTCGCGATTTCAAGTACGGTCGTTCGTTCACGCAATGTGCGTTGGAAGCTTAAGCTGATTAGATTAAGTCTAATAAGACCATACAGAGAGACAGAGAGCATACGACACCACCGAAAGAAGATTCAAGCCCGCTAAGGCCCCAGGCTATCGAAATACACCGAAACTACCAACCATACGAAATATACTTGTAATTCGGTTATCAAAGAATTTCCAACTCATTCCGTTTTCCTTTCCTTCCTTCATCTTGCTCTTCGCGTTTACTTAGCCTTTTAAAGGATGATTCGCGTGACGTGGGTTTCAAGGAAGATAAGCTGTCTTC